ACCAAGGGGAACTGGAACTGAGCACATGTCCCGTCCTTCCCCAAGTACCGTTGTTCCCATCTGCAAGTGCAAGGCTCTGGTGCAGCCCCCTTCCCGTACCCCACATAGTCAAGGCCTTCTCACTACCCGGGCCCCACCTCTGATTTTTCTCTGTGACCAGAGAACGGCCTTCCTGTCAGAATGGCTGCTGACTGGCCCTCCCTTTGTGCAGGGGTGGGTGAGGAAGAGGGAGGGAGAAGCATAGAATACCATAGCCAATTAAATGGAATTCTTGCATCTCACAAGAGCTGGCCTTTTCGTGAACCCCAGGTTCCCGCCAATGCCCGCTGTCTTGGGGTGTGTGGGAGGTGGCCTGGAGCACCTGGCGAAGCGCCGTGAAAGGCTGGACCTCGGGGCAGGATGCTTTGTGTTCCCCTCCTGTCGGGTCCGTAGCTTCTCCTTGAAGGAAAAGAGTCAGATTCAAATTCCGGGGCTCAAGGTCAGCACTTCCAGGGGCTGGGCAGGTAGTGCGTGGAGGAAAGTAGGTAAGGCCGGGATGGGGAGTGGGAGCTGAGGCCGCTCGTCTAAAGGGGCATCCAACACGGCTCCAACTAACTGTGGCCACATCTGCCGAGTTTCAGCGGAATCTGGGAAGTCTTTAAAATGTGAAATCTCCTGATTGGAGATGTTGACAACCATCTTTCCACTTGAAATTTTTTGTTGGGGCTAAAGGAAACTTCTGCAGGCCATCCGTTGTCCCCTTGGGTTGTAGAAGTTCTGGAAGACCCTTGCAAAGTTGGCACTTGATGCTGTAACTTTCTTTGACCCCAGACTTTTGACAATGGGGCCAGACCCCAATGCCTTGATTTTTAGGTCCCTCTGACCCTGGGGGACCTTTAGCAGACGATTGGGCTGGACACCGCCAGCCCTGGGGTCTCTGTGGGCAGAGGCTGGGAAATGTATAGGAATACGAGCCAGGCCTCTCCTGCCCTCGGGCAGCCGGGCTGAGCACCGGCAGGTAAAGGCTGTCTCTCCAGAGGAGCCCCCTCTACGTGGGGTCAGGAAAGAGGGGACTCTGGGAAAAAGGGCTGCCCTTGGCCAGTCTGAATCTGGGTTCTATCAAAGACATGACTGGAGCTGAGGCCCTGAGCTCAGAGGGTGTGCCTTGCCCATGTCTAGCCTCTCTTAATATGTCATGAGCTGTCTGTAGTGCTGTCCAGCCCAGCAGTTCTCAGAGCCTGGCCATACGTTAGGATCACCTTGGGAGCTATTACAGAGACAGGCTGCCCAGGTCCCAACCCTTAGAATTCTGATTTAATTAATCTGAGGTAGGGTCTGGGCCTTGGTATCTGTATTAAAGTTCCCAGCATGATGATAATGTGTCCAGTTAGTGTTAGGATACAATGATAGTTTATTAAATAATTTTCCGAATTTCAATGTGCATGCAAACCACTTGGATAGCTGGTTATAAAAGGCAGATTCTGTAGGTCTGGGATGGGACCTGAGAGTCTGCATTTCATTTTCTTTCTTTCTGTTTTTTTTTTTTTTTTTTTTGAGACATAATTGACATAGAACATTGTACTGGTTTTTGGTGTAAGCATTTCTAGCGAGTTCTCAGGCGATGCTGACGCTGCTGATCCATGGACCACACTTAGGGTAGTGAAGGTCTAATAAATACACTTAATTGCTCAACTCCCATTGGCTTCCATTTGCTCGCTCGTCTGCTGTTTGCCTATTTATCCCCCCCCTTTTTCTTTCCCTCCCTCCCCTCCTTCTCTTCATTCCCTCACTCACTCATACCTCACGCCTGCTTTCCTCCTTCATCCCTTTCCCCCCCGCACTGGCTACTTGTCCTCCAGGGGAAAGCCACCAGGCAGGGGATGCACTCTCCACCAGCTGACGGCCACCTTTCTAAAGTCACTCCTGTTTGGAAAGGAATTACTTTAACTCCTTTCCCCCTTTGACTCTTTGGAGCAAAAGATGGTCCTAAAATGGCAGCTGTCAGGCTCAGGAGGCATCCTTGGCCCCTGACCTCTCAGAGGGCAGGCCTCTCTTTGAGGCTCAAGTGGCTTTTGTAGGCATTGACAGCCCTGGTCTCATCATGTGGTGGCTTTGCTGAGGAGAACTGAGCCCTCGTGGCTTTACTGCGGCTGCTGGATGGTGGGTGTGGAGCTGCCTGGCTCTCTTCCCGAACCCTGCGGCAGGCTTTGCACGGATACTGATTCCTTGTGTGTATTAATGCAGCCAGACCCTGGCAGATGACAAAGGCTTCAAGGCCTGTATAATTATGGCCTCTCTGGAGCAGTGGTTCTTGACCTTGACTGCACACTGTAATCACCAGGGTGCTTTAAAAAGTTTTGAGGTCTGGGTCCACCCCCAGAAATTCTGATTTAAATGCTCCAGGGCGGGGGCATCTGGCTGGCTCAGTCGGTAGAGCATGTGACACTTGATCTTGGGGTCGTGAGTGCGAGCCCCACGTTGGGTGTAGAGCTTACTTAAAAACAAAATTTTATTTTTTTAAGATTTTATTTATTTATTTATTTGACAGAGAGAGAGAGAGACAGCAAGAGAGGGAACACAAGCAGGGGGAGTGGGAGAGGGAGAACTTCCCATGGAGCAGGGAGCCTGATGTGGGGCTCAATCCCAGGATCCTGGGATCATGGCCTGAGCCAAAGGCAGACACTTAACGACTGATCCACCCAGGTGCCACAAAACAAATAAAATTTTAAACAAAAATAGATAAAAGAAATGCTCCAGGCCATGGGGTCTGGGCAGTGGGCAAAGGGATAAATGCTGCCCAGGTGATTCCAAGGGGCAAACCAAGCTGGAAAAGCACCATCTGCTGGCTTCCCAGCTGCTTCTGGCAGGAAGCTCAAGAAGGAAGGAAATGATCAGATGCTGAGCACCTCCAGTGTGCCTGGCAATGTGCCGACCTGCTGCACACACTCTGCCATCCCACCCTCATGCATTGTCCTGCGCTGACAGCTTGGGTGACGTCGTCGCTGTAGTGAGGCCTGGAATGGACACAGCCATTTGGATGCCTATAGGGTTCCTCGAGCCGGCGCCATGCGAGCCGTATGGGTGCCCGAGGTCATAGGAGATGCAAGTAATACTGATCCTGGCTTCAAATGTTGATATTTTGTTCATTGTGGATTTGTTTTTGCCTTTATTTAAAAAAACCAAAAACCAAAAAACATTGCATTGATTTCTCTTGATTATTGAGCTCTTTGACTTCTCCTAATTTTTGTGCCTGAGATTCGGGCCTGACCCTGGCCCTGGCCCTGACTCCAGGCAGGGCCGTGGGAATTAAGACCACTGGCTCCGACTGTCAGAGCTGAGAGGCCCTTGGAGTCATCTGTGGTTTACAAACGGTTTAAAAGTTTTGTTCAGACAAAAGTTTACGGGAAATCCTGATGTGTAAAAGGGGAAAAGCTGATCCACCATGAGTGAAGTCGGGAGGATCCTCGGGGGCTGCAGCTGTCCCCTCCCCCACATCGAGATGGCCTCTGAGACCCACCCATCAGCTCTGGGGCTCTAAAGATGATAGTTACAAAGACCCATGTAGAACCCTCATTCATAGCTAAAGAAACTGAGGCCTAGAGGTGGTGGTGTGCTAGGAAGCTGGCAAAGGAAAGAAGGACAGATGCTCTGTCATTTGTTCCTTAGAGGAAATAAAGGCCTTGATTTGTAGTAGTTGTCAATTTCTGGGGCATAAGTACTCCCCCGTGTACCAACATGATGTCATGACCGCAGAGCTGGGAAGAGATAGGAGCACCCATTTCTGTAAGCTGCCGAGTCAGCTGCAGGGAAAATGACTTGGCCTGGAGTGTGGGAGCAGAGGTGGCACAAGAACTCAGGCCACATGGCTCCCAGCCTTGGGCTCTGCCTACTGGCCCCAGCTGTGTGGTCTGTGGCAAGGCCATCCTGGACCTTTCCGGGACTTCTCCATCTCTAGTCAATGCTCCCAAGGTCATAACATTCAGCCTGTGTGACCACGCCAGACAGAGATCTCGACATCAGGATCCTGCTGCCTTCCAGGGGGCACCTCTGCTTCTCCAGTGCCCAGGACGCGCCACCAGCCTTCGAGTCCAGGGTAAACCACCCGCAGGACGGAAGGGGGCGGGCCTAATCTGCTTTCACCCTCTCTTCCTGGGAGGACTTTCACAAAAGGAACATGTGTAGTATTTGATGTAATACATAGGGAGAATTTTATTACTAAATACCATATGAGTATACAAAATGCGTAACTGAATAACAGCTAAAAAAAAAAATAGTCCAAGTATGTGAAATACACATTTTTTGAAATGATAAAAATGTATCCATGAAAAATATAAAATGTTGCATGTATATACAATATTTACTTCTATATATATAACATAAATGACGATTGTAAATAAGAAATGTGTACATCAGGAACAGGCATGGAAGTTGTTTCTTTTACAGCAGCTACTTTGTTCCAACCAATCAGCTCGATTATTTACATCTTGTATTGAGGAAATCCATGAGAAAGAGAGTGTTTCCACTCTGGTAACAGTTAAAAATTGTTTACACTGAAAAGCAAAAGAGTTTTCCAGTTAATTGACCAAAGGGTCTGAAGTGGACAGAAGAATCAAGAATGAAAGGCGGACAAGAGTCAGGCATCTGTGGGGGAAAGAGGGTCCGCTTCCACCCATCTGAATAGCCAACAGCCGGGAGATGGACTGAGAGAGCACGGTCTTCTGAGGAGACAGGCTGTGGGGACGTTAGCCAAACTGGCGCTGTCTCTGGCTGGGCCGGCACTGGCAGGAAATCCAGCGTAGATTCAAGCACGAGTTGGGGTTCAGGTCAGGACACCTCCTAGGTCCCTTCCTGACCTTGGCATTTGTGGGTTTGCAATGTGAGGGCCTCTTCCCTCAGGGAGGGCATTCAAGTAACAGCACTGAGGCATGAGGAGAGGTTGTGTGTGGCGTGGGGCCACTTCCCAGACGGTTCCTTGCCTGGAGCCTACCCCAAGGGGTCCGAGGGGGGTGGATGCTTGGGCCTTACAGCTCCTTGAGGATGATCTGAATCTTGCCATCAAGCTCCCCCATGTCCAGTAGGAAGGCGACGTGATTGCTGTAGTGCTGAATGATGTTGTTGTCCATGTTGACCAAGATTCTGGAAGAGAAGAGGAGATGTGTCTAGAATGTGGCAGGCCTCTTGTTTTCAGGGCCTCTGGGTGGTGAGGATGACAGTACTACCTACTGGGTGCCCCCAACATTCCAGACACCTCATGAACTTTCTCCAGACCGTCATAACAACAAAGGTGGGTACTCATTGTCCCACTTGACAGTGGAAGGCACAATCCCCAAGTGGCCGGGCCACACCTCCAACCACGGCCCCAACTGCACCAGACTGACTGGGGAAGACGCAGTGCTCCTTCATTCCCCAGGCCAGACGGGACTCGGACACGAAGTGAGAGTTCAAGTGCAGGAGGTGTGGTGGGTGGACCAGCGTGGTTTGGGTTCAAGAGGAGGCTGCGATGTGTCACTCAGGTGTGCCTGCCTGAGCCAGAGGCAGGTGCCACATAAGGCCCCTCTCAGTTCCACCCCCATGAAGCTGAAACCTCATGGGTGGTGCAAGAGACTTGAGGGGGAGGAGAGCCCTTTCTCCCCATGCTCTTCACGCAGGGACCTGGGCCAACCCAAGAGGGACAGGGCCTCCGTGCTGTGGCCCCCTGCAGAGCATCAAAGCCACAGTGTATGCCCAGGGCACCCCGCTAGCAGCTGCCTTCCTGATGAAAAGCCTCCTGGGCCCAACCACATCAGCCTCCCCTTTGTAAGGGAGGTGGGGGTCTTCATCCATCCACTCCACTAGCGTTGACTGAGGCCTCACCATGGGCAGGGTCTTGCTCCAAACAAAAACAAGGGCCACACAGAGATCCTAGACCCTGCCCTCCAGGAGTTTAGAATCTAGTAGGGCCTGAGAAAAGGAATCCTCAGAACCCTTTTACTCCAGTTGGTAGATGGGGAAGCTGAGGTTCAAAAAAGCAGAGTCATTTGCCTAGGGTCACACAGTTAACACATGGCAGAGCTGAAACTTGCATCCAGACTTTTGTCTCTTTCCACTGTACCATTTTTTAAGAAAGAAAAACAAAAATCACTACAGATATAAGTTAGGAAGTGGCATATATGAGAAAGGCAAAATCCAAGCCTGGGGGAGAGTTCAGATGGGGGCGAGGTTATCTCAAGTGGGGCAGGAGTGGGGGGCTGCGGGTCTCAGGGTAGTGCTCCCGGCAGGTAGCTGTCTGCTTTTCCAGGGACCCCCCCCCCCACAGGAGGCGGTAGCGCCATCCCTGCCATCCCCCAGGTCCGGAGGATGGAGACCTTGCCAAAGCAGTGAGCCCAAGCCTCTGGCCTGCATCCCGCCATCTGTGCAGTAGCATCCAGATGCGGCTGCTTTCTGGAAGGAGGGCTGGGCTGAGGCTCCCAGGCTGGGGTGCTGACTGCCAGTGTCTAATTACAGGCTCCCACTTCCTCAGATCCCGTCAGCCATTCTTTCATCTCGCAGAGGGATCTCTGTCTGGGGGCTGCAGGCTGGGCCAGAGGGGTGAGCACTTGGTCAGCGGCCAGGTTTGTGTTGGTTTCTGATAGTGGTATTTCCGGGGTGCTTCTAGGTGCCAGGCACCGAGTGCCTTGCCTGCATGAACTTGAAGGCTGCCTCCCACCCACGCCCCAGCAGGGCTCCCAGCGGGCCCAGAGTGCACACCTCCACCCCAGGCACCCCAGACAAGCCCCCAGACCCCTCCCTCTCAGAGGTCAGTGACAACTGGGCCCTAGAGGCAGGGCTTGCTGGGAACCGCTGCCCCAGGATGTGGGCCTCTCGTCACTGGCCTGCCTCTAGCTGTCTTCTGTCCCGGTCCACCCGAAACCCTTGGCCAGCTGCCAGCAAAACAATGTATTTGTTCATCTTTCAAGCACTCAGTGGTGCTTGTAAAGCTGATTGTTATCTACCTTTGTCCACAGGACTTTCAGGAGGGTTCTGTGAAAATAAGTGAGGCCACTGATTAGAATTTTCTGTTCCTCAGAGGAAGAGAGTGTGACATGAGGGACATGTGGCAGAGGAGCTTGGCCTCTCCTCTCTCAAAAGGTTTTTTGGCGGACTCTTCTCATTTACGCATCTCAGATAACCTAGGACTGAGGTCTTGGTGGTTGGGGGTGTGGGGTGCCTCTGAAGGGCCGCTAAGTGATGCCCTGGGCTATGGGGCTAGGCACATAAAGGGCTGGACCACAGCCCCTATTTGCACACTGCTTAGCAGTCAGAGGAACAAGCAGGAGGCAAGATAAAATAGTGGTGCATGCACGGGCTTTAGACAGGCTGGGATTCCTTCTGCTGGTTACTAACTGTGACCCTGGGCCTACCTGAACGTCAGTTTCCTCATCTGTAGAAATACAGAAAATCATACCAAACTCGAGGGGTCAATGAGATGATGCCTGGGAGATACGTAGCCCAGCGCCTGGCACACAGAAAGTGCTCCACACATGGAAGCTTTTAAATTAGGATTTAAATAGCTGGCTAACGTTTAAGGGAAAGATCTGCAGTTCTGCCAGTGGGGCTGGGGCATCCTCGTATGCATACACCCGCCCCCAAATCACACACACACACACACACACACACACACACACACACACATTTCCTAGCCCCTTGGCCCAGCCTGCGGTGGGACCCATCAGGGAGGCCAGCAGCAGGGGGGCCGCAGTAGGGGGGCGAGAGGGGGGCACGGGCACTAGCACTGAAGGGGCAGTGGGGCTGGGCTTGTCTGGGCAAAGCAGAGCCTGCCCTCTGCGAGGAGGTGGATTCCACCCCAGAGAGCGTGTGAGCCCCAGTGTGAAACCGAAACTTGGAAGGAAAAAAACACACAAAAACCCTACACACTCATACAACCAAAACCAAACGGGTCCTTTCCCAGGGGCTGCAGGACTGCACGCCTCCCCTGCCCCCCCGCCCCCCGCCCTTCTGTGGGAACCTGGGTGGGAACCAGAGAGGAGGGAGGACTGGAGGCCAACCCCTGGGCCTGCCTGGATGGGGCCTCAGCCTGGGTACAAAACCTGCCTGGCTTTGCAAAGTCTTCTGAAAAGGAAAGCCCGCAGAGTGGCCATGGGGCAATGCCCAAGCACCTTCCAGGGGCCACCAGTAAGTGTAGCTGGAGTTACACTGTCCAGAGCAGGAGGACAGGGTCTGAGCTGCGGGCAGGGGGCCGGGAGTGGGTCCTCTGGGCAAGGAATGATGCCGACAATTCCTCACTGCCCGGAGGCCCCACGCTGGGCTGGTGCAGGGACTTGGTTAGCAAGGGCTGTGAGGGTCCAGCTCGCTGGCTCTGACCAGGGGGACTAAAACCTGGAGTGGGGTGGGGGGAGAAGCAGTCACCACATGGCCCTCCATCTCCCCCCGCTGCCAAGGGCTCTCCTGGGCAGGTAGTAAAGGGTACTGTGGTGTTTAGCACGAATCCCCAGGAACCCAGAGTAGGTGCCACACTGCCTGGCCCTCTGGAAAGTAAAGCTTCACTCCCTCCTGCCTCATCCAGACCTGAAGGTGGAGGCCTGAGGAGCATCTGGGGCGGGCTCCCTCAAAACCACGCCCAGTCACCACACCCTTTCCAGACTCCTGGCCAGCCGCTCCCTCCTTGGGCCCCGACTCGACTGGTGGCAACACTGCTGGGCCCTTCTACCTCCGTGTCTTTCCTTTGCTGCTCCTGGCCCTGAATACCGCTTAGCACCTCTGAGCCTCAGTTTCCCCATCTGTGAAGGGTGGGTCATGGTGTCTACCTCATAGTGTGGCTGTGAGAGTTAAGTGGGATCTGCGTAGCCCCACATCTGACACATGGTAGGCGGACGAGGGAATGGTAGTCAGGATCACCAGCATTATAATCAAATGACTTGGCTATTCCGTGGCCTCGGGATTTGGACCCAGGTCGTCTGACCTCTGGGCCTGCACTGGCCCTCTACCTGTGGTCTCTACAAAGACCCTTCCATCTGTCTGCTCTTCCTTTCCTTCCTGGTGCTGGTCAACGTCTGGTCTCTACAGGTGGTCTTGCCTGACTGGGGAATTTCGGCCCAATTCCACAGCCCTTGTCTTCACCACAAAGCCGACCCACTGGGAGCAGGCTGAGCGAACATTTTAGAGGGAAAGGGGCAACAAGGAGGGGAATGGGAGGGAGAGTTGTACTGAGCACTTACCCCCGCTTACATTTCTTGTAGACTTTGTAAATGTTCTCTTCAGGGAAGCCATACTTCTCAGAGATCTGGAAGAGAACAGTAGGGGATTTGTTGTCTGCTGCCCAAACTGGATCTATTCCAGCCTTTTATACTATGACTTTATTTCCTGATTATAAAAGTAACATACATCCCTACTGTGGAAAAATACAAAGAAGAAAATTACAACGGTCCGTAATCCTGCTTCCCAGAGATAAACATCTGGGTACACTCTTTCCCATCTTTTGGACATGGGTGCAGATTTTTTGTATTCCCCATGGATAGCTTTATAGAACTTCTTTTACTTCACATCGTATGTTATAAGCCTTCCTGCATCACAACAAATGCTTGACAGACTACATGTTTAGTAGCTGTAATATATCCCAAGGAGCATCCACCAGGTCCCCCAACCCCTGCCTAAAGCCAGACCCACATCATGCCAGTGCCGAGGGCCCCCCACTCAGCAGCTGCCAACTCTGGGCAAGCTAGTGGCGGAGATGGTCATGCGCCTACCTCATAGGGCCGCTAGAAGAAAGGACTAAACTGGTTCAAAGATTCTAAGTGACATTAATGGCCTTTTGTGAGGCCAGCTTCTGGGGCTGGTTCCAGCCAAGCAGGACGGATGATCCATGAAGGGACCAGGTGGGTACAGCAGAGTGGAGAGAGCTTGGGCTGGACCGCAGCTCTGTCACTTCTAGCCACTCTGGCAAGTCACCTGACCTCTGGGAGGCTGTTTCCTCATGGAAATGAACAGATAATAATAGTACCCACTTTTTGGTGGTATTACAAGAATATGGTGAGCTAGCAAACGTCGCATGCTGACAAAATGCCTGGCACGTAGTGGGTCTTCAGTAAAAGGTAGTTGGTGTTACTACGGGTTCATTTTCCCTTCCCCAGCCCGCCCTCTTGGGACCCTCTGGCTGTCCTGTGTGGTTCAACCTTCAAGCCCAGCTGGCCCTGGTGGAGACTTGTGTTTGCTCAGTTTTTAGCTGAGCCACAAAGCTGCTGTGGGTTTCATTCAAAGCTGTTTCACCCGCTCTCTGGCAGTTTGGGGGGTTGGGGAAGGTCTCCTTGCCCAGACGCCACCTTTCGCTGCCCCCCGCCAGCGCCCCCCAGCCAGCCACAAGCTGGAGGAATGAGGCCCCCTGGAAAAGAAAAAAGAGTGTCTCTGGGGCCTGGCCTTTTTGGGTTTCATTCCCATTAAAACAGAAACAGGTTTGCAAAGCCAACAAAAAGCTCTGGCCTGTCAGACAGCAGCCATCAGATTAAGGAGGATTTATGGTGTGTGTGACTCCCAGGGTGGAGCCAGGGTTCTGGCTGGGAGATAACATCACAGAGGCACGCCCCCACCAGCCAGGCCTATAGGCCCCCCCCCCCACCGTGGGGTGGGACAGGTGGACCATCAGAAAGGCAGGGTTCCAGCATATTCATCCTCAGAGCCTTCCTGTGGGAAATCAGTACTGTGGAGTGAGGAATGGGGGACAGGAACACAGAGTAGGGTCTGGCCAGGGCTGTGGGGGTGTCACAGAGCCTCTTACCGCATTCCTCAGCCCCTTCAGGTCTGGGGTCTTCAACATGAGAGCATCAAACACCTCCTCGGTCTCCCTCCGCACGTACAACAGAACTGAGAGGCAAAGGGGTGGGGTTTAGTGGTGAGGGGAGGACAGATCAGCCCGGGAATACCTCAGGGGATGGGAGAATCTTTAAAAATATTATTATTATTTTTTAAAGATTTTATTTATTTATTTGAGAGAGAGACGGCACAGAGGGAAAGGGAGAGGGAGAAGCAGGCTCCCTGCTGAGCAGAGAGGTCCATTGCACGGCTCAATCCCAGGACCCTGAGATCATGACCTGAGCAGAAGGTAGATGCCTAACCTACTGAGCGACACAGGCGCCCCCCCAAATATTATTTTTAACATAAGATTGGTTTCTGAAGAAAGGGCAAATCCTTGCTGAGGGTCTGTACCCAGATGGGGAAATACCACCCAGCTCTGCAGGTCCCACTCAGACTGTGCTGATTTGGGCAAGTTCCAATCCCTGCTCTACTACCTGCCAGCTAGGTGACCTTGAAGACATTTTTTCCATCACTGAGCCTCACTTTATCCACATGGGAAATAGAGGGGGCCCCACCCTCTATTTCACAGAGTTGTTGGGGAATTAATGACATGGCATTTTAAATACCAAGTGCAGTACAAGGCTCAATTGAAGGTTGCCGGAAGCTTTTGATCTTAGCTACTGGTTGGTTTCTTCTTGATAATCAGCTACAGCCCCCAGAGGTTTGGGCATGTCCCCCTCTCCCAGGAAGTCACAGATTCAGGCTGTCAAAGCCAGAAGGCCAGGTATGGAAACCCAACTCTGCTCCCACCCCCAGCAGAGAAGGCAGGGGGCTTGCCCAATATAACAAGCCTGCTGCCTTTTCCAGCTGCCGCAGGATGCCCATGTCCAACAAGGCCAGAGGAAGCAGAAGCCCTCCAGCTCCATGGACCTCTCTCCAAGCACTCTGGGTGCTCCCCTGACCCCCACCCCACCCTCAAGTTTTGGCCCAACTCCAGCTCTGAGGAGTAAGGCTGCCCCTTGTGCCCTCTCTGCTGGGACCGATGCTGCCCTGGCTGCCTGGGCCATGGTGGTTGTTTGAGGCTTTGGGGCAGGCCTCATGGGGAGCTGGGGGCTCTACGGTGGGCTCAGAGAACAGATGGGCCGGGAGTCAAGGTACCTCTCTGAAGATCATCTTCCTTGGCCTTTTTGGAGGGCAGAGGCTCAAACTCCTCCACGAAGGGTGAGCAGGTGCGCTTCAGAGGCAGCCTGGTGGGGGGCAGGAGAGAGGTGACAGGGAGGGACTCGTGAGGAACCCAGGGGGATCCCAGAGTTGGAAGGGGCCCCAGAGCTCAGAAGATCCCCTGAGGGCAGGCCCAAAGCAGAGGGATGGTGGGTTAAAGCAACAGGTTCTGGAGTTGGGACTGCCTAGGTTCAAATCCCACTCACTAGCTGGGTGACTTGGGGGGAGTCTCTTAGTCCCTCAGGGTCCCCATCTATCCAATGGAGTGACAAAACAATGACGACAAGACTTCATAAAGTTGTGAGGCCGCAGGAGATCACGCAAACAGCCTCTTGAACCGTGTGTGGTGCGCAGCAGGGCCTCGGTGAATGCCGACTGTTTTTACCATCAATAGGATTCTTTTTTGAAAGAATCCACTTGGCCAGGAGGCAGGGAGAGGGGGCAGGGCTGTGGGATTGGGAGTAAGGCAGACTTAGGTTCCAGCCTGCGCATGCTACGCAAGCGCTGTGTGAGCTTGGCCAAGTTACTGCACTTCTCTGAGCTTCTGCTTCCTCATCGGTCGAGTAGAACAATAACCCCTGCTTGCCCGACCTGCTGGGGCTGTGCTGAGGGGATAAGTGACCAAATTTGGTATGGAAGCCCCTCATGAAAAGTACCCCTTGTTCGGGGGGTGGGGCGGACACCGAGGTCAACAACAAACAAGCTTTCCCTTTTACACGCCACCCTCTCGTCCTGGCCTCAGGCCCATGAGGCCGTGCGCCCACTCGGGCAGATCTCTAGGCCAAGAGGGAAGGACGTCAGGAGGGGCCAAGGCGCCGGGCCCCTCCTTCGCCTCCTGGAGTCTGGGGGGGGGGCGGGTGGACCCCTGGGTCAGTCCTGCGGCACAGCGTCCCCCCCCTGCTGTCCAAATCTGCGCTACCATCTCAGAGGCTTCTTCTTTCCCTTTTTACAAGCATGTGTCTCGCCAGAGATTCGCCAACTTTTCACATAAAACAAACCCATAAAAACGTGGGCAGTTTCAGTGAGAAAGCAGTGTAAACCTAGCTTGGGGGCTGGGGGCAGAGTCTCCAGGCTGTCTCCTTGGCGCCCAGGCCCTGGCTTGGGGGGCAGCACAAGCGGTAGGGGGCCAGGCGGAGGGGGTGAGGAGGCCCCTAGCTGCTTCTCTCCGTACCTGTTGGAGCTGCTCTGACCCGCCGAGGGCACGGCCTGCAATGAAGAGGAAAGACATTTTCCATCACATGAAGAAGATGAGAGGGGCCCTCCACTGCTGGAGGCTTTCTGGGGGGAGGGGGCTCAATCTTTGGGTTGGGGGGAGGGGAGATGCAGTTGCAATGCCTTTCTAGCCCATTCCGCTCAGATTAGGTCCTCTTAAGCGAGCTGAGATCTTGAGTCACAGCATTGCCATGATCACCGTGATCCAGCTTGGACTCGGCCACCATCTAATCTGGGGCTCAGAAATCAGAAACTTCCATGCGTGCCCCAATCATGAACGTTTCCACGGTTATAAGGTCCGTTTCTTCATTGACCTTCTTCTCTTCAGTAGAAAAGGTCACTAATGTTGTATGAACATGCGTACATTTTTTAATCCCGTGGGATTCAATAAAAGCATTTTCATTTTGATGTAAAAAATATCGGACCTACACACGTCTAAACTGGCCTGTAGTGGCCAAGTGGCAGGGTGTTCCCCGCCGGTCTGCGCCCATCAGGCCCCACCCAGGGGCCGGGACCCTCTCTGGCCGAGACCCTCACCCCTCCAGGACGCTGCAGGCCGGAGAAATGCACGTTGGGGATGAACAGCACCGGCGGGGTCTCCAGGTCAGCCTCCGGCCGCAGGTACGTGGTCTCATTGCCCCTGAAGCTGGACAGCAGGCAGCTCTTGACGCCTGATGGGAAAAGGAAGGCACTGCATCTGGGACCCCTCCGTTCACACCCCCAGTCTCTGCCCTCCAGTCTCCTTCTCCCCTTCGCCCCAGGCCAGCCCAGCCCCTGGCCCATCCCCACTGACCACTGCTGCTGGAGTCGGGGCACTTGACCTTCCTCCGGAACTGCTTCCGCTCATCATCCCGCATTTTCCTTTCTGCTCCCTGCGGGGAAGAGGGGAAAGGAGTTCACCAAGGGCCTTGGGAGGGGCTGGCTGCCTTGCATCTTAACTATGGGCCAGCCTTCCAGGGCTGCCAGCCTTCTAGAGCTGCTTTCTTCCCAGAGTGAAACCAGGAAATGGGAAAGTAGCAGCGCCCAGCCTGCTGGGCCCAGCCCAGCCCAGCCCCGTCTGAGGTCAGGCCAGGCCATGAGAGACAGACAGACGTGGAGAGAGAAGAACAGACAGAGAAACAGAAGAGGGAAGTGGAGTCAGGGACAAGAAGAAGAAAGAGAAACATGAGAGAGACAAGACACAGAAAGAGACATGGAGAGATCTTCAGAGAGATCTAGAAAGAGATCTTCAGAAAGCGACAGAGAGGGGAGACAGAAGTGCAGAGAGAGGGAGAGAAATAGACTTAGAGACCAAGACCGAGACACCCGCACGATGACAAGCACACGGAGGAGGGAGACGTGTGGAGAGCAAGAAGCAGGGGGAGACAGACATGCCCCGCGTGGCTGGGGAGGGCGCACGGGGGGCGGGGGGGGCTGGCCCTTCTCCGTCCCAGCCCACCCCCCCACCCCAGGTACCTTGTCACAAAAGATCTTGATCTGGCAGACGGCTCGGTGCACCAGGCGCTCGGCACCTGAGCCGCAGTCATAGGTATCGATCTGCAGGTTTAGGGGGACGCCCTTCACCCCCTTCTGCGAGGAGAAGTCTGTGCTGAGGCAGTTGACACCGATGAAGACCTGGGGACAGACAGGGGAGCTGGAGAAACAGCCTGCCCTGGGCGCCAGCCCTGCTGTCCCACAAGCACCCTGCTCACTGAGCCTACTGTGCCCCTGGGGAGCGGCACCCCTGGCAGGCGCCCATCGCCACCTCTTTTACGGACGGCCAACCTGGTGCTCAGGGCGGCGCGCCGGCCATCCCCAGGTGACACAGGGTGTGTGTGTGTGGGGGGGGCCCAGGCTGGAGCCCAGGCTCTTCAGCAGCGGGTGAGGCAGCTCCCACCAGACTGCCAAGGGCAGCCCAAAGGATCAAGGCCCTGGGAGGGAGGTTAGGGGTCCTTCGTGGGCTTTCGTTAGAGTCCAGAGCCTCATTTTTCTGCCAGCCAGAGTGAGGAGGTATGGAAGGGCCATAGCCCATTCCCCCCAGCCCCGGAAGACCACCTTCCTGCCGGCCCCGGGTGAGACCCTGCCCCTCTGCACCCTTGACCACCAGCTCCAGCCATCACTGGACCTGTCAACCCCCATTTTACAGCCAAGGAAGCACAGGCTCTGAGCAGAGGGGTGACCTGCTGATGTTTCCACATTCCAGCAGAATGAGCCCAGACGTGCAGCCACCTGGACTTCGGTTGGGAAGCTGGCCTCTGCCACTCACTGGCCACGTGGCTTGAGACAAGTGCTCTAACCTCACAGAGCCTCAGTTTCCTTATCTGCAAAATGGGGATAATTAAACCTACCTCACGTGGCTGTGAGGGCGCATGGAGCACCTACTGGGCTGGGCATGTAGTGACCTATTGTGGTGAGTGGGACCGCTGGAGTCTCAACCCAAAGCCTAGGCCCAGCCGATGGCAGTCTGGGGTGAGTCTCAGCTGGGACTCCCTGGCAGGCTCACCTGGTGATTGTCTACCTGATTGACTCCTCCATGGGGTGCCAGGGCCAGACCCCACTCCAGACTGGCCACTGTTCTTTGGGACATTTCCCTCGGAAATGATCCTGACTTGCACAGGTAGGGGTGGGGTGCGGTGCCTGAGCAGACCCCCTTCCCTCCTTGGCTGTGGGGGCCAGGCCCCTGGGCGCATGCCAGACATACCTCCCCCTCAGCCAACTCAGCCCAAATGCAGCTCCCACCCAGCTGCATGAGAAAGACCCACGCCCGCCCGGGGGGCTTAAGGGGCTGTGAGAAAATCCTAGCCGAAACCCACTTCTCCCTTCCTATGAAACTCTTTCCCCCGCCTCCCTGCACCAGAGGCCCCAGCTCCTCCTCCAGCCCCTGGCATCTGTTTGAATAATAATAATCCCTCGCTTTTGTGTCTCCCTTTGAGTTTTCAGAGCCCCTTCAGCTCTATTTTCTCCAGGCAGCCTGGACCGCCCCATAAGGCAAGCTCCCCAGCCTGTCCAGGCCAGAAATGCCCTTGCCATGCGCTGGACCCAACCCTGGTCTGAGAGGGTAGGCCTGGCGCAAGGAGGCAAAGGACAGGCCCAAGGTCACCCAGCCCCCGGCTCTCAGACCAGTGCCCTTTCCACAATGCCGGCTCTCCAAACAGAAAACCAAGGCACAGAGAGGCCGAGAAGCTCACAGCAAACTGGCCTTGGGCACTAAGTGGCTGGGATGAAAAAAATCACCAGAGGCTCCACTTTCAGGCCTCTCCCAAGGGTCTGGCCCTGTGCCCGGCTCTGAGACATGCATGATTCCAGGGGATCTTCACTACAACCCCAGGAGGCAGACTACTGTTCCCTTCTACTGGACCCAGGAAGTGATGTAACTGGGGTTGCGGCCTCCCTTGTGGACTCCAAAGCATTCCTCCTGCAACCCTGACTGGCCTGCAAGTCGGCAAACCTGGTGCATCGGTGGCTGGCTGTGTGACCTCGGTTTTCCCATCTGGTGAATGGGTGGATGGGATTGATAACAACAGCGCCCACTGCTGAGCCAGGCTGGGCTCTACCCTTTACTTAGTGCATGTGATCCTCATGTGAACCCCTCAGTCGGTGCTATCATTGTACCCCAATTTTGCAGCCACGGTCACAGGGCTGGGATGTAGGCCTAGTCTTTCCGAAAGGCTGTGCTTCTCCTCCGCTCTGTATCCTGCCTCTTCCACGGGCAGGCTCGTCAAAGCAGCTGCCACAATCCTAGATCCCCACCTGGGGACTTCCGAGGGACCCAGCCCCGTCACAGCCATGCACTGACCTTGGCCTCCTCGTTGACATTCCACACGAAGGACAGGGCGTTGTAGGCCACCTCCTCGATGTGCTGCACGGTGTTGAAGTTTTCTTTGCAGTCAGCTGGAACCACAGGAGACCAGAAGGGGTGAGTCAGGAGGAAAGGGATCTGGGGACATGCTGGGGAGGGGGCGGTTAGGAGCCGGGCCTAATTCCCGGCAGGGATTTGTACCCTCTCCCCCAAGAACCAGGCTTCAATGTGGCGGGGGAACTGATGGTTGTGCCCTGGGTTACAGATGGGAAAACTGAGGTCCAGCCTGGGAAGCAGGTGTGCCCAAACCCCACAGAGAATCCCTAAGTTGGCCGGCAAGGCCAGGGCCCTCATCCCTTTTGGGTGGAGGTTGGAGTTTGCAGTGGGATTGGGACTTGGGGGGTCTCCCAGATACGGTAGTAGTAGAAGGAGTAAGAGCAGTGTCAGTGGTGGTTAGAGCACCAGGAAGTGTAGTAGCTCCGGGACCCCTCAGGCCGAGTGAACCGTGGGACGGCCACCACTTACTGAACACGTCAGTATGGCGAGCCCTCAGTTAATCCTCACAATGATGCTATGAACACTCAGTTTACACATGGAAAGAAAATGAAGCTCAGAGACGTCTGGTCACTTGGCCAGGGTGCCACAGCTTAAAAAAAAAAAAAAAAAAAGGCACAGCAAGGCCTGGAGCTCAGCTTTGGCCCCTGGACACAGGCTCCTACCCACTTGCTATGTGGCCTCTCAGACATGTCATGGGATTGTCCCTAGTGATATCATGTTCTCCAGGGCATGCGACGCCAAGGCAGAAGAAACAGCACTGGAGGCAGGCAGGGTAGCTGGCCTTATTCCATTTGACAGTTGAAGAAACTGAGGTCCAGAAAGGGGAAGTGACACAGGTCACACAGTCAAGAAAAGAGTGATGGAGTCAGAACCTGGAGGCGCGAGGATGGGCGGTGCCTCCCACACATCCTGGGGCCCAGGACAGGGATAAGGTGGCACCCTGTGTCCCTTCCCCAGGCCCTCTCCCTGCTGACAGAGCCGCAGAGTCCCAGCTCCCAAAGCAGAACTGCCCTGCACTGTCCTTCCAACCTTCCAAATCACACTGCAGTCTGCTCTGTTCTCTTAGGTATTTGTGTCTCAATGGGCTAAGCCCCCCACGGGACATGCAGGCCAGCATCCCAGGGGTCTATTTATCGGACACTGCTGGGGTCTCTAGGGCACTGTTTACCCCAAAGCAACACAGAAAAGAGGCCCCTGCTTCCAGCCCACAGATGCAAATCCCTGTAAACCCCACAGTGCAGGACCTGGAGACAGGGGCCAGGCAGGAGGCTGGGGTGAGAACTAAGTCCCACCGAGATCACAGGGGGCTGGGGAAAGGGGCAGGGCAAGAAAGACCCGATTGGGGTGTGTGTGTGTATGTGTGTGTGTGTGTGTGTGTGTGTGCGTGTGCGTGCGTGTGTGTGTGTGTGTGTGTGTGTGAGAGAGAGAGAGAGAGAGACAGAGACAGAGACAGAGACAGGGAGAGACCAAGAGGCAGGGAGGGGGTCCTAGGGGGGCTCTCACCCACGTCGATGACGCGCTGCTTGGCAGTGGGTTGCCGGGAATGCCAATGCTTCCAGAAACGCAGCTGTTCCACGGGCACCTTCTCGTTGTCAAAGACAACCATCACCACGCTCTGCAAGCACAGTGGCCGCCGTGATCCCCAGCCTCGGGAAAGGCCCAGGCAGTCCCGATCCCTTCCCAGAGCCCTGGTCCAGCGCCCCTGCCCTTCTGCCTGCATGTCCCTCCACTCCGTGGCAGTGGCACCGGCTCCCTAGGGTCCCTGTCAGGCCGGGCTGGCCCAACCATCCTAGCCCCTTCCCGAGCTGCTCCAGGGGCAACGTACCTTGACTTTGTTGGAGGACAAGGCAAGGCCTTTGCCGCCTGCCGGGGTCCGCAGGGTGATGGGGTAGAACTGGCCCTTGTTGAGGTAGGCCATCGGCGACTCCCCCGACTTGATGTGGATGGCTTTGGGGGAGCCCAGGGTGTACTCAAAGTCACTGCGGGGAGGAGAGGGGGAGGACAGCGAGGCTGAGCTCGCAGGCAGGAGTACCCCAGAGGGCAGTGTGACAGGAGGCTGAGGATGTGCTGGGGATTTACTGTGGGACTTTGGGAAATCATTCTACCCCTGGGCCTCAGTTTCCTCATTTTTGGAGTTTCTATTTATGGTTTCATTGAGCCACAATCCTGCTGAATAACAAATAATGGAAACCAGAGAGACCCCTGAGGGGTGACAGAGCCCCAGGGGAGATGAAGGGCAAAAGAACCTCAGTTTTTGAACAGGGCTCTGAGCTCCCTGTCACAGCCCAAGAAAGAAACGTAGAAATCTGTCTGTCTCCTTTCATGTGTCTTCACTCCCCTCTTCTCATTCACTGACGATGCCTGCTCTGGGGACAGTGTGAGGCTCTGTCTGTAGCTCCTGCCTACCGTCCAAGTGGCCAAGGTTCCAGAAGGGCTGAGTTACCTCTTGGGGCTGGGATAGTCCTCTGCACACGGCGGTTCTGGAGACGTTTTCAGGATATCTGGGAAGAGCAGCGACTGCAGAGAAACACAATCCAAAGAGAATAAATGGCCGCATTCAGGCTGCCGGGGCCTCGTCCCAGAGCTGTCCCATACAGCTGCACAGGTTATGCAGTGCACAACTGGGACAACAGTACATGGCAGACCTGCCTCTGCTCTAGGACTTTTTATCCCAAGGATTCCAAACCTCTGACCTCCTCACTGTCTTCTCTCCTTCTGCACATGCATGCACATATCCAGGGATGCTGTGAGCGGTATGGGGGTGGGCCCTCACCTCCTGTGGGTCATCTTTGAAGGTGCTGTCGGGCTGCCAGCGCTGTGTGGGTGGCACCCCATGAATGCTCTCAAACAAGGAGTTGAGGGAGCTGTTATCATACATGTCACTGGTGGGCAGCAGGTAACTGTCCACAGAGCCAGCTTCCAGCTTGCTGGGGCCGGTGGGGAGGGGAGCTGCCTTGCCCTGAGTGGGCACGGCCCCCTCCAAGCTCATCAGGTTATTCTTCTTGAGCACATCTGGGTACTCTGGGGTTCCAGACACATTCTCTGTCAGGAATTTCATGAGATGCGTGGGACTTTCAAGGGGAGCGAGGTCCATCTCATATTCCATGCCATGGTAGTACCTGGGGACAGAGGAGGGCTGAGTGAGTGCACCTCTTCTCTCTGAGGGGCGAGGAGACCCTCAGTCGGACTGGACTGTGACCATCACGCTGACCCACTGACCTTCTTTAATCCCATGTAATGTTAGCTCTTCCTGACGTGCATGAAGCAAGACACAGTAACAGGCCAGTTTGTCACAGGGATGAGCAGGGAGGAGGGTGTCAAGAATGGAACCAAGTACAGGCTCAGGGTCGAGGGGAAAAACATCTGCTTTATCTTTTACAATACTTGGTCATTTTAAAAACTGAAAGGTCATTTTATTTCTTACCCAGAGTCAAATGTCCCCACATTAAAACAACTGTAGTGCGTCAGCTATACAGTGGGGGGGGGGGGGGGGGGGGGAGGGGAGTGGATATTACTGTTAACACAGTACAGTTAACATATGTTGAGAAAAAGGTCTGGAAGGTATACTCCAAACTGTTAAGCGGGGCAGGGGAGTAGGGTTACAGGAAACTTTTACTTTCTACTTTATATATTTTATAGAGTTTGACTATTTTATAACAAATGGGTATTACTTTTGTAATCAGAAAAGCTAATAACATGTTTAAAAATTAGTTTTCAGAAAAGTCCCATGCACAACCCTACTGCTCCTAGCATGGAGGGGCCCTGAGCCAGCAGCGTGAGCCGTAATGCCGCCTTGGCACCTTGGATTTTCTGGAAAGCAGAGAGGAGCCCAGAAGGTTTCCCAGCAGAGGCCCTACATGGTAGGTGGGGGGTGTGGGGGAGGGGGCGGAAGAGTAGAGAAAGGGCAGGGTCCCTCTAGTACCCATCTGGCCATGAGCATGGCCTGGGCTGCCTTCTAGGAGGAGGGGGACATCAGCGCCCCGAGGCGCTAATGCCAGGCAGAGGCCCAAGAGAGCCAGAGGAATGAAGCACCTGAACCCAGGTGCCCCCTCCGCCAGGCCAGGTCTCCCTTCCCCGTGAGACTGCAGGGAGGAGGGTTTTGGAGCTAGGACAGAAAAGCTGCCTTCGGGGCTTTTCCTGGACCATGGCTTTGAAGTTTGTTTTCAGTAAACTCCAGCCCACATGGCCTGCAGGCTCTCTAGCGGAGCCTGGCCTCATTATGACTTGGTGGGCCCTAGTCTCTTGCCTTCAGACTCTTCCCACCTTAAAAAAAAATATTTTAAAATACACCTTTTACAGTTGCATTGGTGTAAAGATAGGTATAATCCAGGTTGGATTATATTCATTGTTTTCTTCTGATTTTAAAGTAAATTCTCACTTCCTTGGGCCCCTGAGAGTCCTGTGGGCCCTAGGCACTGAGCCTTCTGTGCCCGATGGTTAAGAGCCCAGAGCTGGAGGGGAGCATGAGGAAAGGGGCCGAGATGGTGGCTGAGCAAGCCTCACCTCTTTCCTTGGTCATTCCGGCCCCCAGTGCTGGAGCACAGGATCCGCTTCTCCTTGGGGCCCTGAGTGGAGAGGAAAGAAGGATTTATGCATTTATGGCAAGATCAACCCCCTCGGGCGGACTTGGCCAGACAGAGGAACCACCTTGGTCACTGGGGGGAAACCTGCCAGTCCTTGGAGTCGGCTGGCCAGCATTTAGTCTGAGTCCCAAGTTAGAGAGTGAGAAGAAGTACCCCAAGATTAGCTGTTAGGCATCCTGGAACTCGAAGTCAGGCAGATCTGGCGTAAGTTCTAACTTTACCACTTAAAAGTGCTGTGTGACTCTGAATAAATGACTTCACCTTTCTGAGACTCAGGCAAGTGGGGGATTATGATACCTACTGCAAGAGTATTTGAAGATTTACTAGTAAAAATAATGCTTGCTGGTTTTTATTTATTTATTTTTTTTCAGATTTATTTATTAGAGGGGGTTGCGGAGAGGCAGGAGAGGGAGAGAGAAAACCTCTAGCCGACTTCCCGCTGAGTGAGGAGCACAACATGGGGCTGGATCCCACGACCCTGAGGTCATGACCTGAGCTAAAATCAAGAGTCGGATGTTTAACCGCCTGAGACACCCAGGTGCCCCTTGCTGGTTTTTATTTTTAAGATTTTATTTGTCAGTAATCTCTACACCCAGCATGGGGCTCAAACACACAACCCCAAGATCAAGAGTTGCATTTTCTTTCTTTTTTTTTTTTTTTTAAAGATTTTATTTATTTATTGGACAGAGAGAGGGACAGCGAGAGCAGGAACACAAGCAGCGGGAGTGGGAGAGGGAGAAGCAGGCTTCCCGCCGAGGAGGGGGCCCGATGCGGGGCTCGATCCCAGGACCCCGGGACCATGACCTGAGCCGAAGGCAGATGCTTCACGACTGAGCCACCCAGGCGCCCAAGAGTTGCATTTTCTATCGACTGCGCCAACGAGGCGCCCCTTCCTTGCTGTTTTTTAGTCTAGTATTTCTTGTGCACTAGGCCCTGTACTAGTGACCTTCTATGTGATCCCTACTTTAACCCCTGCACCACTCTGTGATAGCTACTAAAATCATCTCCATTATATGGATGAGGAAGCGGAGGCCCGGAGCGGCTCTGTGGTCTCAGTGGTTAGGAGCGTGGGCTCTGGATCCAGATTTCCTGGGTTCAGTCCCCAGATGTGCCACATACTGGCTGTGTGCCCTGGGGGGGGGGGCAAGTCCCTTAACCTCTTTGCACCTCATTGTCCGCCTCTGTGCAAGGATAATAATAGCAACACCCACTCCAGAGACTGTTGTGAGTGCTTAGACCAGCACCTGGCACATGGAGAACGCTACCTAAATGTGACTTCTCATAATTATAATGTTGTTGTATCTTAGAGCATCCAGGTCATTTCGACCTCTGGCTAATAAAGCCAGAACCAGGTTTTCCCAACCCAGCCTAGGGACTCCAATGCCTGGGCTCGTACTCACACCCCATGGGAGAGCATGCAGGAAGGTGCCAGGCACAGAGCCTGGCGCTCAGTGAGAAACCATACGCTGTTACTTTTAGAAGTATATTGCCCAAAACCACACTGCCAGTTTGTGGCCAGATCAGGTCTCAAACTCCCAACTCCATCCCCCGCCCCGCACATCATGAGACCCTGTCCTTGGGGCTGTTCTGAACCCAGAGGGCTCTGAAATGGGGAGGTGGGGCAAGTGTTTTCACTAAAACTCCAGAACCTGTTCCCACCATTCCGGCCCTGGGAATGGCCCTTGGCCTGGGAAGATGGTACTGGATTTTACATTACGGTCCAACCTCAAACTGTAAATCCCAGCCTGGGGGTTAAATCCAGGCCTAGCATTCTGGCTCTCACCACATCTCCAGCCTGAGGCAGTCAATACAAATTTCTTTCCCATGGCCTGGGCCAAACACTATCAGCATGCTATGGGTCTGCTGGGGAGGAAGTAAGGTAGCGTAACCACACTACTCCATGGTGAGGACCAAAGCCGGAAAGAAAATTTGGGGCCTTCTCATATCTGAGACCACACTTCCTATCCTTGGCCTGCGAGTTTACACAGAGAGTGTGCCATCCCCCGCTGGGGTAAGGTAGATAAAGTATTTCTTGGGTCAGGAAATTTGAGGGCTTATTTACAAAGTGGCTTTAAATCTTCACGTTCAAAGCCAGTTATCTCAATAATTGGCTGTTTATGTTTCCCATTCTCAAATCTGCGAAATTCTTCTTGGAGCAATCACCCAGCCCAGGGAGAACGAGAAAGTTTGCTATCATGTGACAATTCAGACGGATGGGTAGGGGCTGCCTGGAGTACGGGCTTGAGAAAGATTCTTCAGCTTCCTGCACCCCTGGTGAGAAGGCAGGCTGGAATCCATGAGCAATGTCTGGCACAGGCACGGGAAGGGGGGGCTCTGTGGGTTAGGTATCTGTGATTGCCCACTGGTCAGACAGGAGAGGGCCTCCTTCCTGTTCTCAGGTGCTGACAGTCTCCCAGAGTCAAGGCCAAGGCCCTGGAAACAATTAGAGAATCATAAGGACCGCTTGTCAGGAGGTGTTACATTACACAGAATGGGCGCGAGGGTAGGAAGGGTAGTCAGACGCTCCGGACAGGGGCAGGTGATATGGCAAGTGAAAGTGGCCTTGGGAAGAAAAGGAAAGGATTCAAGAGCAGAAGGCACGTTCTAGGCGGTGGGGCTGGGTAGGGGAGTGGGGAGGACAGGGTGGCTGGGATGACCTAAGGAACAGGGGCAGAAAGAAGATGGTAGGCTGGGGGTGCTATTGTGGGGGGGGGGTGTGGCCAAGACCTTGATCCATCCCATCAATATGCACCGGGTGCTGAGTGTGTGGCAAGCAGTTATGGCGTGCTGAGGACTGAGTAATGATCACTGCGCGGTTCCCGTCCTCCAAGAGCTCAGTCCTGGGGGAGTGAAGAAACAGACGCATGGCCAGCAAGGTTCTAAAGAGTTGCTGGCCCAGTCTCTAAAGAGTTGGGGAGAATGATGGTAGCTGCTGAGGGTACCCGGAGGCACGGAACGGGAAACCCAAGAAAGCCTTCCCCTTTCTCAGTGAAGGAATGAGAGCCAGAGCTGAGAGGAGGGTTTAGCCGGGGGAAAGGGGAGACGGACTGGCGTGCGTGAAGACCCAGAAGAGAGAAAAAGCACGGTGTGGGGCCGGGGCTGGGCCGTGGGGCCGTGGGGCCGTGAGGCCTGAGAGCGAAGGCGTGCATTCAGTCAGAGGGGTACGGGCCCAGCGGGGGCAGACGTACCATGTAGTAGTCGTAGAGGAAGCTCAGGGCTGCAACACTGTCATCGTCCCCATTGACCCTCATCATGGCCTTTGTGGCAGCCGTCAACGGGTTTTCCAGGTAGGTCTTCCAGGCCTCGTCCTCACTCGTGTAGGGGAACTTCTGGAAGTTGACCGGGTCATTCTTCAGCAGTCGCACAGACCTGAAACTGGAAGGCAAGTAGGGAAGGTCAGAGTCAGGCTGTCCCGGAGGAAGGTCCATGAATGCTCAGCCTCAGGACAATGCCCAGGAATTCAAAGAGTGACCAGTCTTGAAAACGTGGAACTGCTTCTTCTGTCCCCCTTTGGGCAGCTTGGGGCAGTAGAACGTACCTGAACTCGGGAGCTAGATGCTTTCGGTCTCTACCGAATGTTGCCATGTAGAAGCTGTCGACCTGGGGCCTCAGTCCCCTCATCTATGACACCAAGACCCTAACCCCAACCTTGCAGAGCTTCGCAGAGGATTCAATTAAAATGCTTCCGTGTAGATACTTACTCGAGGGGATTCAGCATAAGAAGGATAGGAAATCATGACAAGCTGCAAAGAACAAAATTTCCAGATAACCCAGAGTGAGAAGTTCCCCTCCAGACCATAAAAGACTCAGAAGGCTGGCCAGGGTTGCCAGTTAGGGAGTGTGGTGAGGAAGCATGTGGGCAGAACCCAGTCTGGGGATGTGGCATTTCAGGCCAACACGGACTGCAGAGGGCCCAGGCAGCTGCCCGCCTGCCTGGACCTTGTGCTGGGGGGCGGGGGAGGGAGGGGATGCTGCAGGGCACACGGACAAGGCAGAACCGGGCCCTGTGCAGAAAACTCAGACACATACAAAGCAGGTGGCCCAAGGGACAAGACACACGGGCTCAAAGGAAAGAGATCGCGAGAGGCTCTTCAGAGGAAGCAGACATTTCAGTTGGGGGCCCTCAGCACTGAGGATTATATCATGCAGACATGTGAAGGGGGGTGTCGGCGGTATAGGGACGTGATGCAGAATAATGATGATGTCATTATTAAAAGTAATATCTAATCTTTATTGAGCATCGGCCATGTTTTAGGTGCTGAGCTAAGCACTTTCAATGAATTCTCACAACAACCGAGTAGGGTGGGTACTATTCTTGTCCCTATTTATTTATTTTTTTTTTTTAAGATTTTATTTATTTATTTGACAGAGAGAGACCCAGCGAGAGAGGGAACACAGGCAGGGGGAGCGGGAGAGGGAGAAGCAGGCTTCCCGCCGAGCAGGGAGCCCGATGCGGGGCTCGATCCCAGGACCCCGGGATCGTGACCTGAGCCGAAGGCAGACGCTTAACGACTGAGCCACCCAGGCGCCCTATTCTTGTCCCTATTTAATAGACAAGGAAGCCGAAGCTCGGAGAAGTGAAGGGAATCGCTCGAGCTCCTGGTTAGTGAGTAGCCCTGAGGGCGATCAAGCTCCAGCAGGATGATGCTGTGATACAGGATAGTGTTCTCAAACTTGAGCTGCATCAGAAGGACCTGGAAGGCTTGTTTTTAAAAACACTGATTTCTGGGCTCCACCCCTGGCGTTTCTGATTCAGTAAGTCTGGCGCAGCTGGGAATTTGCATTCCTAACAAGTTCCCCAGTACTGCTGATGCCGATAGTCTGGGGACCACCCTTTGAGAATCACTGGTGTAAAACATGCTCTTGGTGGTGAGCAGAGGCACAGAAGTAGGAAAGTTCCAGTGTGTCCAGTTTAGAGCCGAGCATGTGAAGGAGAGTGGTAGCTGAGTAGATGGGAGGGGCTAGACCAGGACAAGAGAACCCCAGGGATGAACTGGGCACTTCATGGTCTGATGGCCCCCTTCCTAAGGGAGCCTCGTAGACTCTCTCACGTTAGGGACACAGAATATGGATGAGCGCTTTCCATCCCTAAGCTCCGCTCCATACAAGAACACTCCGAGGTAAGGATCATTGGCTTCGCTTTGCAGATGAGGGAGCTGAGACTTGGGGAGGGTAAGAAAATGCCCCAGATCACGCAGCTAGTCCATGACACAACCAGGATTTAAACCCAGGCTTGTCTAGTACCAAAGCCGTGTGCTTCCCACTGAGCCGCCCTGTTTTACCATAATGCAAGAAGGGGTGGCATCTCAGGCACTGTGGCAGGCTCGTGGGTGGGTGAGGAAGTGCCCCCCTGCTGGCCCGCGCTTGGGCCTACATTCCCAGACTGAGCTGGAACAGCAAGCAGCCTGCACCCAGGCAGACAGTGGGCGGCAGCTCTGCCGGGGCTTCACCCGGGGCCCAGTGCTCCCCCGACCCCCGCACCCATCTCCCTGGGTCCCAGGGTGCGGGACGTCGGCTCTGAGAGGGAGGGAGAGAGCTGTCACACAGGAAAGAGAAATGACAGAAACCTTCCTGCTCTAGGGGTGCGGAAAGGGAGGCACACCCCGAGTTTCTGCTGCAATAAATCAAGGGCATTAAGACGGAGAAGTGAGAAAGAGGCCCCTCCCCGCTGCCTCCTGGGCCTGGGGTTAGAAGAATTTGCAGAGCAGGCCCAGGGTAGCTGGCCCCAGCCCCTCCCAGCCCCAGGCTAAAGGAACTCCCCGACTGAGGGGTCATGGGAGAAGCAGGGAAAGGCCCGGTGGACACCCGCCCCCCATGTCAGTTGGGATCCCCAGTGCTGAGCACTGTTCCTTTTTTGTAAAATGAGTCTCATAAAAGCACCCACCATGTAGGATTATGAGGATTGAGGGCATCGCCACGCGAAAAATGATTAGAACTGACCTTGCCATGTAACAAATGCTTAACACAGGAGAGCCATTTTTGGGCTCTGGACCTAGCTTGGAGCCAGACATCGAGGGGCTACGAAGTGGTTTCAGACATGGTCACCCCACAAGTCAATGGCAGATCTGGGCCTACAGCCCCAATCTGTTGACTCTGGTGGAATGACCATTATCAGCTTTGAGGAGTTATTAGTTATCTCTTACCCTATTTAAAAATTAAAGTTTCGAAGACAGTGATAAGGTTGCATCAGGAAGAAAAGGTCAGTGTTTGCTGTTCATCTGGGAGGCTTTTCTGGCCCACGAGCATCTCCAGTCCATCCTGCTGGGATCCCTGAGCCTGAGTCCTTGCTACACAGTGGCTGTCGGACTTTCCGTGTTTACCATAGGCAGACACCGTGCCAACAGTTTTTCTGCACTATCTCTTCAACTCTGGGCCACAGTCCTGAGAGGTAGGTCTTGCGGAAATTGAGACTCAAACAGGAAATATTACCTGCTCAAGGTCACTCAGCTGGTAGGTGGTAGAAGCTCAACCTGAACCTGGACTCGAAGACGTTTTTTACCCCATACCAGTCTCCTTTCAGGATGCCTTTCTTATTCTGGAAATTCCCCTCCTCTGGACTACATTGAACCAGTGGTCCACTGACAGAGAGACAGGGATTTTCCACCCACGCAAGGCAGGAGGCACCGAGTAAGAAAGCGAGAGGACTGGAAGTTTCTGGCCAGGAGCTGGGAACCCTAGTGTCCTGGTCCCCATGCCTGCTCATGCTACCGATCCACTTCATGTTCCAAGGCTAAGCATTTGGCTTCCAGAAAGTCTTGACTGGGGTAAGATTGGCATTGACTTGTGTGCCAAAGCCCGAAATCCAAGAACTTCTGGTACCCTGTTCCCTTAACGCTGGAAATGAAGATTGAGGGCCTGGTGGGTGAGAGATGTGAAGAGTTCCAAGGACTGAGCCCTTGTTATGGGTGACAGAGCAAGAACAAGGCGGGGGGCGGGGGCAACTGACCCCCACCGCGGGCAGTCACCTTCCCCAGGGCCTCCACAAACTTTCTGTTGATGCCCCTGCCCAAGGCAGAACTCCTCAACTACCAGAAGGAGGAGGGAGAATGGGGGAGGAGGGGATGGGAAGAGGACGTAGCTCTTTCCTCATCTGCTAAATGGGTCTATTGAGCGTCTTCTGTGTGCCCAGTCAGGAACGCTTCTAGGCCCTGGGGAATCAGCCAAGAACAAGACACAGATAAGGCTCTGCTCCCATGGAACTTACAGTTTAATTGGGGAAGACAGACCATAAACAAGGAGGTAAATGAGTTAATTTTAGTCAATGATAAGTGCTGTGAAGAAAATTAAAACACAGTCAGGTGATGGAGTCACCAGGGCTGGCTACTTTAGCGCGGGGCTAATCTCATGGGCTGTTAGGAGAATTAAGCGTATTAAGGTAGGAAATGGGCTTAGCCTCGAGCCTGCCAGAGAATAATCACTCAGTAAATAATAGCCATCATCATCACCATCATCATGACCACCATCATCTCAGAAGCCCCAAATGATAGTCAAGGGGAGACTCTGCCCGAGGTTCTTATATTAACATCCTCCCTAAGCCTCCTGTCTGTGAACAAGGTTCCATGTCAAAAACAAAAAAGAGACAGTGTAATAACCCCTTGCTTTGACTTTCACATTCATTATCTCATGGGGCCTCCCAACATACATCATGTGTTATTATCTCCACTTTACAGACCAGGAAATAGACAACAGGGATGTTCGGGGACCTGTTCCAGGCGACTGGCCAAGTGAGTTACAAAGCCAGGCCTCCTGGGATCTAACTCCACAACTAGTCACTTTTCCACAGACCACTAGTTTCCAAAAAGGGAAGGAGATGAGAAGGAAAACCCAATAAATAGGGGTGGCATCCATCTCTCATTTTAACAACTATTTGTCAAGTAACTACTATGTGTCAGGCCTTGTCCTCGGCCAACAAGACAAGAAGGTCATCCCCACTGTCAGGCTGCTTGCATTTTAGTGGCGGCAAGACAGTCATGACCACAAAAACAAACAAACGGCTAATGTCAGAGAGGCGAAGAAAGCTGTGAAGGAAAGGAAGCAGAAGCCTGACCTGCCTGAACTTTGGGCAGTGACTAGGTGTGGTCAAGAAGAGGGCTTGGGGGTTGGGGGGAAGGGAGCAGGGAGATCGGTGGGGAGGACCTTGGATCTTCCTGAGGAGAGGAGCCGCAGGATCCGAGGCTTAAGCCTGGGACAGCTCCCAGAGCTTGCCCACCTACTGTGTGCCAGGGTTTTTGCATCCATTGCCTTGTTTAAAGGAAGGCCAGCCCCCTAAGGAGGAAACTCAAGTCAGAGATTTGATAATCCCTCACATTTGCATGGCGTGTTGTATTTTTCAACATGCTTCTCATACATTTGTCATCACCTCTGATCCTGCAACGCCCCTGTAAAGTAGGGAGGGAACGTATGACTCTCCCCCAGGTGATAGCAGGAAAAATTGAGCCACAGAGAGTGCCATTGGCTTGCCTAAGGCCAACCAGCTCATGACATCAAGCTTAGAACAGAGGTCTCTGGTTTCTAGTATCACGAACCTTCTCAAGGCTGCCTCCTCAGAGCCTCCCTGGCCCAGCTTCTCCTCCCTGGCCCAGCTTCTCCGCCCTTTGGAAGAGAGTTGAATAGAAGATCAAGAGAGAGGAGCTCCGGCATCTAGCTGATAAGCCTCCCTTCCTGAGCTCCCCATCTCTAGCCTGTGGGGATGTGCAAACCGCCCATGCAGGGGCTCTCGTGTGGATGGGGCCTTGCCCAACAGCTCACTCTGGGCCCACAGCATGGGAGGGGTGTGCTACCAGCTGATCCACACCCAGCCAGACTCTTGGCCTCCTGACTCTACGATGCATCACTCTGGGCACCACGATGGAGGAAGCCCAGGGTGGTGAAGTGGGTTTCATCCCAAGTCCTGTTGGACTCTCGATGCCCACAGCTTTCTGGCTGAGCGCCACTTGAAACTCCCAATGAGACTAAGTAAATGTGTCTCAGCCATCAGTTGAGGACTTTGGGGTTCAATCTGGGGTGCAAAGGGACTTTCAAACTCTAGTTTCTCAGAGAAGGTATGACTTTGCCTAATGACACAACATAGAGCGGGACTGAGATTTGAGTCTTTTGGCTTCCTATCTGGTACTAAGTTGAATCACTGCCCTATCTCAAAGGCACCTCAATAATTCAGAGATGTAAAAGGAAGGACTCTTACTCAATGCTGCTGAAGGGAGAAGGAAACTCACCAAGGGGAGCTTGCGGGGCTCAAGCCCCGCCAAAGGAGGTGCCTGGCACAGGACAGATCTAGTGAGCTGGGTCCCACTTCCCTCCAGCCTGAGGAAGAAGAGTTCCAGGGGCCACCCGAGCTAGGTGTTGACACCCAGATACACCCAATAACTTGCCAAATCCTGTCATGAGCCACCCAGCCTTCTTAGCAGTGATCAATCACACTAATTACCCACAAGGAGGCCCTGCCACAGCTGCTCACGGAAGAATCATTTTTCAGTCAGCACCATGCAAGGTGTTCCCTAGGCAGGACAGGAGGGCTCCGGGGTTCTCGTGCTTGCCAGCGGCCCATCTGGTTTCTGGATGCCCAGGTTGTGAAATGTGCCTTGTCACAGGCTGGGGGCTCTTTGGGGGCCTGGACGGAAACATGATGGAGTCCATTCTAGGGCATGGCTCTGTAGTGCCTCTACTGTGAATGAGGTAGTGTGAGCTCCTGTCTCCCGGGGTGGGCCCCAGAGCTTCACAGACCTGGTTCCAGTTTCAGCTCTGCTAGTTATGAGCTGTGGGACTTTATGCAACTTGACCTCTCTGTGCCCCGGCTTTCTTCCCTGTAAAAGGGGGAAAGACCGGAGTACGAACCTCACAGAATTTGGAGGATAGCTGCTATATTCACTTGAGGCTTTACCAAGCACCAGGTGCTAGCCCAACAATTTCTAGCCATTGTTTTACTTCATCTTTACAGCTTTGTGAGGGATTACTGTTGGAAAATGCAATGAGATAATGCAGGTAATCAGCCGAGTGCCAGTGCATAATAATGTGAACTATTATTATTATTACTAAAACTCACTTTGTGGGGTAGCCCCCAGCACACTGCATGACAACTCACACCCTCACCTTCTCCCACCTGGAAATGGGACATCTTTTCCGAGCAATAGCAGGAGACCTGAAGCTTGGAGATGCCCAGATAAGAGAGGCAAGCACCATCTGGCTTCGGGTGGGCAGGGTGAAGGTGGTCAGGCCCTGGCCAACGCTTCTAGTTGCATGGAAATTAATTACGTGCCATTTTCTAATTATACCAGAAACTCACTTTCTCCTCTTTGAAAAACTCTGCCCTCTACGGGAATTCGTCTTTCATCCTATGCTCTTCTTTTGGTTTCCTGTCCAATTTTTCAGGGGTTTCTTTTTCCCTCTTTCAACTGAGATGTGAAAGAAATTGAAATCCACCTGTAAACCCGGGGTGCCACATCCCTTCATTCATTCATTCACTGATCCATTCAACAAACATTCACTGGGGGTTACTCTATAATAGGCCCTGTGCTGGGTACTAGGACACAAACATAAATACCACGCTGTTCCTGCCCTCAAGAGTTTGTAATTCTTGCTGCCCAGGTGCTCCACCCAACAGGGAAATAACACCAAATATTGGTGAGATAATTTCCCTTCAGGACATTTACTAGGTCAGTTGCTCTGACTTTTTAGAAGATGAAAGGATTGGAGGGAGGCAGCCAGCCAGGATTATTTTGCTCCATTTTGCAAATGCTGAGCTCCTGAGAGGGGAAGGAAGACAGAGGAAGAAGAAAAAGGACTGTTATTTTATAAAAGCATCAGGCCCAGGGCCCCTGGGTGGCTCAGCGGGTTAAGCATCTGCCTTCGGCTCAGGTCACGATCTCAGGGTCCTGGGATGATCTCAGAGTCCTGGGATAGAGGCCCACGTCAGGCTCCTTGCTCAGTGGGGACTCTGCTTCTCCCTCCCGCTCTGTCCTTCCCCACCCCACCCCTGTTCTCCCTCTCTCTGTCTCAAATAAATAAATAAAATCTTTAAAAATAAATAAATAAAAGCATCGGGCCCTGTGACTTTTCATTCTCATACTTGCCCTGTGAGGGGTATGTGGGGGGGGGGCGGGGTGTTAGCACCAATTTACACACAGCAACTGACAGCTAGAGAGGTTAAGGAGCTCATCCAAAAGTCACCTGGTCCACATGTGGCAGAGCTAGACTCAGACATAGTGTGACCCCCCCAGCAAAACTCTCAGCCTGCTGATCCAGCGACTACGTGGCAGGTCAGAAGAGGAGCTGAGAACCTCCTGCCTCCCGGTCCTCTGCCAGGTCTTCTAGGCCAATGGTTCTTAAACTCGAACATGCATCAGAATCGCCTAGAGGGCCTGTTAAAACATATATTGCTGATCCCCACCCCCAGAATTTCTGATTCAGTAGGTCTAGGGTGAGGCTGAGAATTTGCATTTCTAACAAGTTCCCAGGTGGTGAAGATGATGATGTTGGTCCAGGAACCACATTTCGAGAACACCATTTGTAGGTGAACCAATAATTCTCTCTTTGAAAAATAATGACTCCCTCTCCTCACCCTCCCCATTTCAAAAGTAACATAGGTATGTAAAACACAATATATAAAATGCAAAATGGAGAGAAAATTGGAAGCAGAGCTAGATTCACCTGCTTTCCTCCACTAAGAAATAACCACTGTTAACAGTTTGGCATGTCTCCTCGTCTTTTTTCAGTATCTGCATAGATAGGAGGCAGGGTGACCTATTGGTGTGGAGCGTCATTTGAGCCCCTCCGTTAAGACCCAGTTAAGATCCCAGGTCTTCCTTGAGATCTTGAGCAAGCCTGGGGCAAGTCTCAGACCCCTCCTTGGCAAAACTGAATTTATACTCCCATCCTCATTGAATCGTCGGGAAGGTTAAAGGAGATAGTGTATTTATCAAGCACTGGACACTGAGTCTGCTGTGGAGGTCAGCTCTCAATCAGTGCTTGGCTGTTCTTTTTTTCAACCAAAGGGAAAGCTTTGTATATGTTATATACAAAGCAGTATATGCGATTTGTGTTTCAGCCCTGTGGCCCTTCCCCCCCGCTGGCCTTTGTCTGTGTGGACCCCCGTGAAGCCCTCTGTGGCTCCGGGCACCTGACGGGGCCTCACTGTGCCCAAGCAGCCGGTGCAGTAGCAGGAACCTCAGGAGTGTCGTTGCACCCCAAGCCTCCGCCGTTAGGGTTGTCTCAGCTCTAGTCCGCCTGTTTTACAGGCGGAGCTTAATGAGGGCTTTTAACTTTTCATTCACCAGCAGCGTAACTCCGACTTTTAATAACACACCTTGTGCACGACAAAAATTTGCTCCTGGCAATCATGGTTTCGACCACAAAACCGCAGCGGGGAGGCGTTCCTGGTTAACTCTTTCAGCGCTCCAGGCAGTCTGGAGCCTGGCACTCCTGGAGATCACATGGAGCGGAGACAAGAGGCCTGTGGTCACCCACTGGGACATTCTTTGTCCCCCTCCCACCCTCAGTCCTGTCTCTCCAAGGCTTTGGGGAGGGAGATTCCAGGCAGCGGGTGGGCTCCCAGTCTGCAGACTGAGCAAGACTATAGAGGGGAATCCTGGTGCGCCTCGCTCACTTCTCTCTCTTCCACTCGATAGACCTACTGTGTGCTGATCACTTAATCTCCTGGCTCCTCATTTCCTCCCCGGAGGAGCGAGCCAGCGCAGGTGCGCCTGGCACACAGTGGGCCCTGGAGCACCACTCTACTTGTAACTCCAGAGTGGCCGGGAAGACCCACAGCACCCGGCCCAAGACCCTGGCGTGCCAGCGTGTTGCCCACCCCCAACCCCGGCTCCCCGGGGCCCTGGCGGGGCTGTTTTCCCGCGAGGGAGCCACAGGTGGTGAGCGACTTCCGTCCTCCCCAGGATCCCTTGCGGGCGGCTCCAGCCTGGGGGCAGCCGACGGCGCTGGCTGGCTGGCCGGCTGGCTGGCTGGCTGGCTGGCGGCACCCGAGGCGGGCTGCGTTTCCCCGGAGGCTGGTAGACGCACCCGGCAGGCGCTGGGCCCGACCACATGAAAGGCGGGAGCGCTCCACCCGCCAGCTGCCTCGAGCTGGGTTCTGATGCCGCCGCCATGCACCCCAGGACCCAGCCTTCGAAGGGCCGCCTTCCTCCCCAGGCCTAGGGATCGGGGCCTCGCGGTTAAGGAGCTGCAGCCCCGGGGCCGGGTGGCCCACATGTGGGAGCGCACTGTTTCCCCGGCCAGGTAGGTGTGCATAGCCCCTGTTGGGCAGAGGAGGACACCGAGGGTCAGGGAGGAGAAACAAATTCACCAGGACCCTGCGCTCGCTAAGTGGCAGAATTTCGCCCCATGCAAGCTCGGTTTTTCCCACCACACCAAGGCCTAACAAGATTTTGCCATTCTGTCGGAGCTCAGGATGGACGCTAGCACCAGCCCTCCTCACTCGGCAGGCACCGTTGGGGAGAATTCGGCAGCCAAGCCAGGGGCCACAGCAGCACCAACAGCAACAGCTCAAAACTTGCAAGCCAAGCACTTGATCCCCCCAACCCCCACTTATCAGTAAGGGTAGCTGAGCCCCCAGGCACTGAGGCTCTGTCATTGTAATCTCAAACGGTCGCTTCAGAGTCTGTCTGCAATTACTCTGCAGGCACAGTTCCCCTCACCCCACCCCAAACGGAGAAGCCTCAACTGTCAGCGGATCTCACTTCAAAAACCCAAATCGTTAAGGAGGAGAAAATCAGGAAACTTGCTGTTGGAGTAACCCAGCTTCAGGACGCTTACCCCCTGAGGGGCACCAATGAATAGATTCTGTCTGTAGCCTCTGCAGTATTACCGCAGATCGAAGTGGGATGAAGACACAGCCTAAGATTTTTGTCTGTTTTCAGAGTGTGGAAAAATAGCAAGAGGTTCAGAAATACTCACTGGTTATTTCTGTATGAAGTAACAAGGGTTTTATTAGCTTGCTCCTTACCAGGCTTTAAACTAAGTGGTCCAGATCCCCCAACAACTCCATGAGGTGGGTACCACTATGGCCCACAACCTACAAGTGAGGAAACTGAGTCTCAGGTAGGTGAAGTGACTTGCCCAAGGTCACACGGCTCATTAGTGGCAGAGCCGGGACTTGAACCCACGTGTTGCCTCCAGTGCCCCTGCTCTTATTCCAGTTGTCAACACACTGTCAACCCCAGGGAATTTGTTCAAGAGAAATCTGATGCCCAGTGATTGTACTACGAACACAGTTGGCTAACCTAGGAGAACTCAAGAGCTAGCCGGTATCATGGAACACTGTCTGTAGTGAGGACCCACCAACTGCCCCCTCCGGTCTCACGTTCTTAAAACAATCTATTGAGGGGTAGCTAGAAAAAAAGATTGTTCAACCTTCAACCCTTGTCTCTGCCCACTCACCTCTGAGCATGGCAAGAGGAGGAGAGTCTGTGTTTTAGAAGCTTGGCTTCTGCCAGCTCCCTGAGCCCAAGCTAAAGCAGCCCCGAATCCCAGCCTCATCCCACCTTCTCTGAGATCTGGACCCAAAGTAGGGGGTCCATGGTGAAGGTCAACGGCAGCCAGTGGGGAGTCTAAATCCCAGATACGGGCAGGAAGGCACCTGCATCTTGCCAGGCAATAGAGATGACCTCACTGAAAACCACATCTCAGCTTCTTCAGCCTTAGAACTGCCTCTGAATAAAATCAACCGCATTTTATTAATGCATCTTCAGACCTTGGCTCTGTGCCTAGCATTTTACAGCTTTTATCACACTTAACTCTCTCAGGATTCCTACAAAGCATTCTTGTACCCACTTTCTGGATGAGGAAAATGAAGCTCCGGTAAGTTGAGTGACTTGTGCAAGATCACATGCCCCATAAGGAGCAGAGTCTGGATTTGAACTTAGGTCAGGCTGACTACAGAGGGCATATGTTTAAACACCACTCTGTAACCTTCCCATTTGGGACCCAACAAACAAGTACCTTTAGAGAAACCCAACTCTGTGCCTAAGACAGCTCTTAGAACTACCTCAAAGAAGTTCCTTTTGGCAAGAAGATAGGAAAGCCTACATGGGATTGCGGCTGTCTCTGATTTCCAAGTCCCTTCACGGTATCAGTAAGTGGTGCCGAAAGCCTTCACAGTTTCAGTCCCGTTTTTCCCCACCTGGCTCGAAACTGCTCAGCGGACAGAGAAAAAAAAAAAAAAAAAAAAACAACCAAAACCCTATTTTCCCAGGGAAACATTCAACTCTAGCTTGAGATAGGGCTTGCCTCAACACGCCAAAGTGAAATCGTCAGCCCATTCATTTACCCTTACAAATTGCTCTGCGAATCCTGGCGCCGGCCTCCCTGCGCTTCCCCCTTCTGGAAACCCCATCAAGCCTCCACGCTCAGAGAGCGCCAGGCATCCACCAGTGTTTACTCACTCAAGTTCATTCGACATCTTCTTGCTCCCAGGCTCCCAGGCTCAAAGACCAAGACGCGCACCAGCACCGAGGCTCTGCTGCCCGACCGCTTGTCTCTAATTCTTGCCTGACACAGACATTCCCTGGCCAGAGAAGTGTTTGATTTATG